GAATTACTGGATCATATGGTAAATCTATGTTTAATTTTTTGAGAAACTGCCATCCTGTCTTCCACAGTCACTGTGCCATGTTACATTCCTACCAGCAATGCACAAGGGTTCCGATTTCTCCATATCCTCACCAACACTTCTATATTTTTTTAAATAATAATAATCCTGATGGACCTTAAGTGGCATCTCATTGAGGTTTTGATTTGCATTTCTGTAATGATTAGTGATATTGAACATTTTTTCATGTGCTTGTTGTCCATTTGTATTTCTTCTTTGGAGAAATATCTATGCAAGTCCTTTGCCCAATTTTAAATTTTGTTGTTGTTGTTGAGTTGTAGGAGTTCTTTATGTATTCTGGATATTAATCCTTTGTTGATATATGATTTGCAAATATTTCCTCCTGTTCTGTAGGTTGCCTTTTCCCTCTGTTGATAGTATCATTTGATACATAAAATTTTTAATTTTGATTGTCTAATTTATCTATTGTTTTCTCTTGTCGCCTATGGATTTGGTGTCATATACAAGAAATCATTGCCAAATCCGACGTCATGAAGCTTTTCCTTTATATTTTCTTCTGAAAGTATAAAGTTTTAGTTTTTATGTTTAGGTCTTTGATGCATTTTGAGTTAATTTTTACATGTGGTATAACGTATGAGTCCAGCATCTTTCTTCTACATGTGTATATCCAGTTTTCCCAGCACCATTTGTTGAGGACTGTCCTTTTCCCTACAGAGTGGTTTTGGCACCCTTGTCAAAAATCATTTGATCATATATGCAAGGGTTTATTTCTGGACTCCCTATTCTACTGGTCTATATGTCTGTCTTTATATTAGTACCATACTGTTTTGATTACTGTGAAAAAAAATTTAAATCTATTTAAAAGATTTAAAAGAATTGTAGGTAGAACAAAACGTCTCTTCTCTCTCTCCTTCACCAGAGGTAACCATTTGTGAAGTTGATGTGCGCAATTCCATGAGTGCTTTCATACATTTATTGCATGTTATTTATAACTTACTTTGTACATTTTAATCTTTTTGTTTTTCCTGAGGAAGATTAGCTCTGAGCTAACATCTGTTGCCAATCTTCCTCGCTTTTCTTTTTTTGCTTGAGCAAGATTAGCCGTAAGCCAGCATCTCTGCCAATCTTCCTCCCCTTTATATGTTGGTTGCCACCACAGCATGGCTGACAGGTGGTGGAGTTCTGCACCCGGGATCCAAACCCTCAAATCCAGGCCACTGAAGTAGAGTGCACTGAACATAACCACTATACCACGGGGCTGGCCCCTGTATGTTTTAATCTTTTACTTAAATATTAGTGCTATGATCTGAATGTATGTGTTCCCCCCTTCCCCTAAATTTATTTGTTGAAATCCTAACCCTCCAGGGTGATGATATTAGGAAGTGGGGCCTTTAGGAGGTGACTAGGTCATGAGGGCAGAGCCCTCAAGAATGGGGTTAAAAGACGCTCCAGAGAGATCCCTTGCGCCTTCTACTATATGAGAACACAACGAGTAGGTGGCAAACTGCAACCTTGAGGGGGGAGCCTCACCAGCACCCAACCATGCTGGCCCCGTGATCGTGGGCTTCCCAGCCTCCGGAACGGTGAGAAATACATTTCTGTTGTTTATAAGCCACCCAGCCTGTGGTATTTTGTTACAGTAGCCGCGAGGATTCAGACAACTACCATACTACATGTGGCCTTTTCTAGTTTGCTCTTCTTCGTTCAACAATATATTTTGAGGTTTATCCACCCTGAAACATGTACATTTAATTCACTCATTTTATTTGTTGTATAGCATTCTGCTATATTCACATGGATTCAAAGTATTTAAATCCATTTCTCCAATGAGGGGCAGTTAGGTTGCTTCCAACCTTTTAAAAATAACAAAAGCACTGCCGCAAACATTCTTATGTATGTCTCACACATGCGAGAATTTTTTTAGGGTAGAAAACTAGAAGTGAAATTGCGGGTGTTGTAGAGTAGCTTGGGAAATGATGAATTTTAACACTGTAACCTAGGTGTTCATGACTGAGGTGGCTATAAGCAGTAAGGGGCTAGTTATTGGAACTCTGGGTAGTTACCTGGTTAGAGTATATATGGCATTTCCATTAGTCTTATTCTAAGGGGCTGTTGTTGTGAAGACGTGGTGATGGATGAGTTTGGCCGTGTAGTGTCGTCATTCGATCGCATGGCTGAATCTTCCAGGAAGCAGGCCTTCTAACGGATCATTGCCAGCCTTGGTCTTAAAACCTCCCAAATTGTTTTGTCACTTGTTAGACAACTTAAGACTACGATATTCTGAATTTGATCAAATTGGTTTCAGACACCTGAAATGGTAGATACAACAGTATTCTCAATTTTTAAAAATAGTTTTTCATTTTTAACCAGGAATCTGAAGTAGGGTTGAGAGATATGTTGTTACAGAAGCAGATAACTTAGAGGCTGTTATTAACTGAAATCAGTTAACATCTTACTTCTCCAAAAATGTGTTTGGCAGAGGGACTGCAGGAAGGAGGACTTTAGTCTCAGCCTTCAACGTGCAAGCTACTGATCTGGATGGTGAGTCAGCACACTAGAGTGTCCTCTTACATGGGCGGTTGGTGCTCCAACAACGGGAACTGATCAACTGGAGACCTACCTTTAGAATTGGCCTCAACCCTGAGTTCTTTGCAAGACCTACTTTAAACTTCATTACATGCTTTCATGTTAAAGTAAACATCACACTCACTAACATTCCCAAACTAGCCAAAGACAACCAAAATAAAACCAAACAAAATCTGTTCTGTTCAGACAGTAGAATGGTAGTTACCAGAGGCTGGGAGGAGGGGGAAAGGAGAAAGATTGATCAAGGGGTACAAACTTTCAGTTATAAGATGAATAAGTTCTGGAAACCTAACGTACAACATGGTGACTGTAGTTAATAATAATGTATTGTTTACTTGAAATTTGCTGAGAGAATAGATCGCAAGCATTCTCACCACATACACACACACACACACACAAGGTAACAATGGGAGGTGATGGATGTGTTAATTAGTTCGATTTTGTCAGTCATTTCACAAGGTAAACATATATAAGAACATCACTTTGTATACCTTAAATACGTATAATTTTTATTTGTTAAAAATAACTAAGTGATTTTTTTAACTGTCCTGTTTAAAACATGAGTTTCAATAATATTGCTAATGACTTTTGTAATTCCATATATTTGACTGACTCTTTTGATTGTTAGAGCCCTGGGTCAATTGCAGCAGAGAACACAGTTTTATAGACCAAAATCTTTGGAAAGTAAAGTACATATTCAAGAGCTAAGTCATTGAGGTTGCTAGAGTAAATCATTGCTGATCCCATCCTTGGTCAGGCTGAATATTTGTCCTCCCAGAAATAGGTAGACCTGTCTGTGATGCAAAAGGCTGTCAGGAGATGTCTCCATTTGAACCAGAGAGCTGGTGTATTAGCAAGATCACTGGTTTAAGCCAGAAGGCCTGGGGTTGAGTCCTGGTTCTGTAACTTGCTATTTAGATGGTCTTGAGTGAGTCTGTTAGCTTGTCTGAAATCCCAGTTTTCTCATCTACCAAAAGGCAGTGACAAAACCATACTTGCTTCAAAGGATTTGATGAGATGGAGCATGCAACAGTTGTTGAAGAACTGTAAACTCTCTGAATTGTCGCATAAACATGAATGGTTCCCTCGTAGTCACTGAAGGCCCAGGTTCTAAACAAGAGCAAGAGTGGTGCATTTGTTATGTATTGACTGTGTTTTGATAATAGGCACGTCATGTCATTTTTACTGTTTCTTCTCTTGACTTTCTATTTTCTATGAGATTTAGACTTCTTGCTCACTTTAATTTTGCTAACCATGATGCAACTCGTGGACCTAACCTGAGCAGATTGGTGACGGACCTTGAAAAATGGTCTGAGTGGTGGAGGTTGTTGTACTTTTTCCTTTCGCTGAAGCTTAACCAGTTGTTTCAAAAAACATTCAAGAATTTTGTGATAAAGGCAGTTAAGAATCTCTGATTATTCATCCTATGAAGTTCAAAAGTTCTTGGATCTTGGCTGAAGACTGTCATCAGATTCTGAGTAGTCACAGCAGTTTGGATCTAGGCACAGATTTTGATCCTGACAAATAAAGACAAGTTGTAGTAGTCCTGGAAGTTATTCTTTAGATGTGATGAACATAAAGCTCTCTTCAAATGAACAATACAAGTATCGCATGAAACATGACAAAGGATAAAATGCTGCACTGGGATGTTTTCATATAGCTAGTTTGGAGAAATCAATTTTGCTAACCATCCTCCCCCACCCCCACCCGCCAGCAAAGTTCTATGATTCAAAACAGGATTTCCTGTATGCTACCAGAAGCATCTGTGACTTTTTTTTTTTTTTGCCAGTTCTTCTAAAGTTCCCCATTTGGGCCTTTCAATCTCTTGCCCACATTTTTCCTGAGCCCCACACATGGTACGGTGCAGGCTGGGCCTTGCAGAAGGGCACGAGGCCAAAGGGAAGAGTTAGGACCGAAATCTAGCCACATGCCCTGACATGGGTTTGTGTGGCCTCAGAAGAAGGGGTGACTTTTCCTAAGTTGTATAAGGTGCCGTATGGGGTAGCAGAGGCTCTGCCATCTTCCTCAGCGTCTCACTTATCTGCGTTCTCCTCCATACCCTAATTTCCATTCTTTGACCCGTAAGCTGCCTCATCACCACCCATGAACCTAATCTCCTGCTAGAAACCCTCTCACCCTCTGTGCCTCTCCAGCTGTCCCACAGGCCATTCCAAAGCTCTCTCACTCTCTTGCTTCCAAAGAACCACTTCTAATTCAAATACCTTTCATAAGATAGACTCAAGGGTCATTTTCAGAGTGTCATTCAAAGCCCATGAGAAAAAACAAACTTCACTGGTTTGGTGCATTGATTTCCATGACTCTAAAAAAAATTAAAAGGATGAAAGCTAGGTTGAGTTGAAATGTGAAATTATCAAGAGCAAAACAGGAAACAAATGTTTGCTCAGCTAACCGTTTCCTACTGAGGGCTCTCTGTGTAACGTCTCTATGAGGAGTTCACTGTTCAACCTTAAACAGATTGAAATGACCGATGGGGGAAAATCACACCAAACCCAAGGGCTCTGTGGAAGCAACGTTCAGCGAGCGCCAGGCCCCTGAGCTGCTGCAGAAAGGCGGGTTGTGAAGGCGCGTACGTGTCAGTGTTGAAGGGAAGCCTTTGAAAGCTATCTTTCTAACAGGATGAATGTGAAAGCCACAGGGGAGAAAAAAAAAGGCAGCACGAAACTGCCACCGGAGCATTGCTTCCTGCCCGGGTAGCTCCGGCTCTTTGCTGACAGTTCTTAGGCCTTCTCTGGCTTCAAAGGTTTCCTCTTTTCTATTTTTGGTAGCAGAATATGGATTTAGATCTGCATAGTCCCTTTCCACGACTAATCCGTGCCCCGAAGAGAGGAGGGTTGCTGGTTCCTGTTGGCTATCAGTTCTCTTTCTTTTCAGCACCTCCAAATGATTTTTAATATTAAGGACACAGATTTATGGGAAGGAGTCATTGAGTTTTCAAACTGATTTGTAGTCTCCTAATTTGCACATTCCTTTCTCCAGCAGGGGCATCTCAGAGATCATCTCGAGTAATGGAGCCTGACTTCTGTGATGAGTGAAAGAATCCAGGTTGGTAAAACAGATGGCCATCGAATGACCAAAAAGTAAGCAAGGATGATTTGCATCAGTGTAACATGTAACTGATTAAGCATGATTCCATTTTGGAAAGAAAGAATTGATGCCTATGTAATCGAGGATTAGTTTAATCTGCATAAACTGTAACAAAAAGCTACAAGCTATGCCAGACGGAATGCTGAGGACCCTGGGCCATGCAAAGGAAAATACATTGCCCAGAGCAAGCATTTTTAATTTCTTGAGTGTTTAATTTCATGCCCTCTAATTCTGTTTCTTGAATCACTTCTGTTTTTCCTGATCTCAGGACTACCTAACTTTGCCGGCCCACTAATAGTAATAACCTTGGATGGGTTGTCTTTTATAGCCAGATAGCTCAACATTTTTTTCTTTTTAAAGAAGTATTAAGCCCTTTAGTCCTCTCATAAAAATATGGGGCCACCCACCGGGCTGAATGCAGGGCTGGGGATCAGGAATGCCGCCCCCTCAGTCCAGCTGCCTCTGCCCACGTGGTCTTAATCAGGGTCTCCCTCTGTGGCTTTAAAAGGGTGACAATCTTGTGCTTGAGAAGGATTATTGTAGGAAGGTGTAAACTGAAGCGTCAAGGGCTCGCCTCACCTCCCCAAGGTTACCACTATGTTTCTTTGCGCCATGGCGTCTGGTTTGACCTTCACTACCCTCTAGAAGCTGTGAACCCACACAACATGAATATTCTATGTGTGCCATTTGACTTTATTTTGTTTTACAAAGAACAAAATGAACAGAAACAGTGGGATTGGGGGAAGGGGTGGGACTATGAGAATCAATTCTAGGGATTTTGCAAATGGATAATTGGCAAGAAGCAAAACCAAATGTCAGTCGTGTATTGGGTTTCCAGCACTGGGAAAGTGTCTTTAAATATATTTTACATAATGGTTTTGAGCAGCAGGCAGCATTATCTGCTAAGTGGCAGTATTGTCAGTGAGCTAAAAAACTACATAATGGAGTTAAAAAGAAAGCCTCCTTTAACCTTTCTCCAGAGCGTTTTTACCCTGTTGAATTTTCCAGGGGTTATTTTAAATGTGTCCCAATGTCAGACTTGTTCAGAAAGAGAGTATTGTGTCTCCCAAGAGAATGATGATTTGCTTTTTTTTTTTTTTTTAATGGAGCAAAATGCTAACTTTTAATAGACTGTCTATCCTTTTCCTTCAGAATAAGTCCTCCCTCAGAATTCCTATGCAAATATTCAAACTCCCGAGCTGGGAAAAGGTTAAAAGGAACTGAGCAAGTCTATAGTGGCTCTTTCTGCGATGCACTCCAACACTTGGCAGGATGAGGTGTTCATAGCAGGTGCTGGATTTGCTATAAATGGACAATTTATAAACAGAGCTGACAACTGGGAAAACAGAGCAGTGGGGAATGCTGGCATTCCAGGGGCCAGCGGTTGATTTCCTATCAGATGGTCCTCAGCATGGAATTATTGATAGCTGCTGCTCTGAAAGAAAGCCAGTTGGCTATTGCATAAAAGGGCTGCACCTCAATTCATGCCTGATCTACTGGTAGATATTTTAAATAGGTCAGTGCAAATTAGCTTCTTCAGGTTGGTATTTCCTTAATTAGCAATTTAATTGCAACGTCTTCTCCTCCCCTTCAACCTTGACTGAATTTAACTCTCTTCCCTCTCTGTGATGCCGGAGGACTGGCACCTGAGAGAAGGCTGGCTGAAACAAAAGAGGAGCCCCAGGGCAGCGGGGGAGGATTCAGAGCAGGCTTTAGTGCCCAAGGCCAACACAGAACCTGGCTAAGGCAAGCCATGTGTGCAACCGAGGGCAGCATTTTTGGCCGTGTGTCCTGGGGGGGAAAGGAACAGGGCCTTTGTGCACTGAACCCTGGGAGAGAATCAGAAATGTGCAGCAAATGCATCTCATTTCTCCTTTGCTGTTTGTCAAGGGCTGCCAGCACACTGGGACGTTCCTAAGACCCCCAGCAAGGTTCTGCTTTCAGAGTATTCCCATGGAGCAATCTAATGATCACATTCATAGCTTCCATTGTTTTTATTTACTGTTTTGGACAGATTTAGCCCTGCAGAAAAGCTTGATGGTAGTTCCTAGACAGATGGCGTTGGCTGGCATTCGTACATATGTATCTGCAACTTTGCATTGGTGCAGTTCTGCTAGGAGCTAGGGAAGTGGCTATACCTGTTTGTTCTAGCTGTATGAGCTGTTTTTCCAGAAGACGTTTGTTTCGCTAGGTCTCTACTTTTCTTCTGACCACACCCTGTTGTTTTTCTCTTCAGAACAGACTGACGGCCTGATCCTGCAAAGAACTTTGACTTCCTTACAAGGAGTGAAAATTGTACAGCCTGAAGATTAAGTTTTTGAACTGGATGCCCATCCCAGCATGATGGTTGTCCCGGGCACAAGGGAGTATAAAGAATAGGGCATTGAGGGAACCCAGAACAGGGACTGTTTGATGCCACATAATGGCAAACATCCCCAGATTAGACAGAGATCTTAAGCGTTGTGGTAATGGATGCTTCTGTTATTGGTGAGAAGTCTTGTCTGTGAGTGGAATGGGAATCTTGCCTCTGGGTTTCATCACAGCTTCATCGACTGTGGTGAGCTCTCTAGCAAAGGTGTGACAAATCTTACTGAGCACGTTTTGTTTATGAAGAGCTGTACTGGGTGCAAGAGGTATAAGAAAGTATAGGTACAGTACTGTAAGCCAGAAGTTCATGATGTGGTTAGGGAGATGCACCATATTCTTGTGAAAAGATGATTAAGTCGGGACCAACAGGGCATGTAAAAGCCAGGAACAACCAGGGAATGTTCTAGAAGTGCCAGGGACGGAGTGGGAGCTGTTAGGTCAGGGAAGACTTGAGGAGAAGGATAGGACTGAAGCTGGGCCTTGAAAGGCTGGAGACTTTCAGTGATTGGAAATGTGAAAAGGAGACTATTCCAGGTGGAGGAAGACCATGCTGAGGCCCTGGTGAGGAGATGACCCCTGAGCTTGGGTGGAGAGGAAAGAAGAATGTCCTGGGAGGTAAGGCTGAAGGATCACACAGATGTGGAGGCCACGCAGAGTTTGAAGTTCATCATGTTGGATCCTCCTGATCCGGGAAGGGAGCCGAGAAAAGCAGGATGTCAGGAAGGTGAAGGCAGAAGAGAGTGGCAGTCACCTCAGGAGGAGCTCACAGGGTCCCATCTCAGTGACAAGGCTTAGGTCTGCAGAGCTGTGTGGACTGTGCTGTGTTCTAAGCCACGGATTGTAAATGGAGCCCTCCTTCCTCGGCATCCCTCTTCCTCCCCGGAAGCCTCTGCTCACCATCTGACTAAACTGGGGCCACCCAAGCTTCTGCTCAGGGAGTTTCCCCACAAGCCTGGAGCCAAAGCGAAACAAAGGCAGGTTCAGTTTTTTAAAGTTCACTGCTTGATTCTTATTTGCTCACTCTTGGATTCCCATTAGTGCTGCCCTGACTGATTTGAGGCCTTACTAGACATTTGGACGATTTCTTATTTTCATAGCTAACTCAGAAGGTCATCTTTGAGCTCTGGAAGCATCTGCTCAACCTGACAGACAGCTAAGTCAGAGCCACAGATCTGGGGGTGGGGGTGGGTCTGCCCTGGTCAGGGAGGGCTCCCCTACTAAGAGCCCTGGGAGGAAAGGAGCGTGGACCCCCCTTTCTTGAAACTTTTTTCCGTATTTTCTAAACACCTCAATGTGTGGCCTGTAGGCAAACAGCTTGGGTATCACCTGGACGTTAGTTAAAAATATAGAATCTAAGGCTCCACCCCAGCCCTACTGGATCAGGATCTGCATGTTTTACAAGATCCCCAGGGATTCATGCGCACATTAGCGTTTGAGAAGTGCTGCTTTCAACCTAGTAGGATGGAAGGATCACCTGTGGAGCTTTTATTTATTTATTTATTCTTTTTGAGGAAGATTAGCCCTGAGCTAACTACTACCAATCCTCCTCCTTTTGCTGAGGAAGCCTGGCCCTGAGCTAACATCTGTGCCCATCTTCCTCTACTTTATATGTGGGACGCCCACCACAGCATGGCATGCCAAGCAGTGCCATGTCTGCACCCGGGATCCAAACCAGTGAACCCCGGGCTGCCGAGAAGCAGAATGTGTGAACTTAACCGCTGCACCACTGGGCTGGCCCCTGGCTGTGGAGCTTTTAAAACATTCTGTGGCATATTACATACCCCAGACAAATTAAGTCAGAATCTCTAGGGGTGGAGCCCTGGCACTGGTATTTTTTAAAAAGTTTTCAGATGATTCTAGGTACAGCTTGAGTTGAAAACCACTGGCCTATGGTCTGTGTTAACCACTCTGTTTCCAAGGCACCAAATTCCCCTCATACTGTAAAACAAAACACCACTAACCTTTTAGCCACAGACCCCGATGGAGTGAAAACAATACTCACTAAGCATTTATTCAGATCTGGTTAGAAAATTCCTGGCCAAGAACAGATGTAACCACTGGATTCACTCAAAAGTGTCAAGATGGTAGCTTGTTAAAATTCCTAGTCTTGAGTATTCTCTTCTGGCCTTGGAGGGTGGCTCTGTGTAGAACCTGGAGGACAGTTGCCTTGCCCCTAATCTTGGTTTCTGAGAAGATGGTACCCAGGCCTGTGCCACAAGGAGCCATGTTGCCTGCCTATGGACAGCAGAAACACACTGAGGAATTCAGAGTATTGATTTTTCACACTAATGGTCACTTTCAGGAAGCAAAAAAGGGTTTAAAAGCAGTTTTCCACCAATCATCAGCCTAGGGTAGATGTCAAACTTTAATAACTATCGCGGTTATTTCAATATATCTTCTTTCCCATTGAGGGCTTTCAGTTACTTAATGCCAGGGTGCTGGGAACCTTCAGGGGTGAATGTCAATGAGTGTCAAGTCAGTCTCTGATTTTCCTCAGTGCTCCCAGCTCTGCTGAAACATCGGGGATTTTCCATTGACAGATTCCGATCCTGAGCCAATCTTGGTCAGGGCTTGGAGGGTATTAGCAACTCTGTTTCTTCTTCTTGCCTTATCCCTGCCTCTTGGTGCCCCCAGGATGGCGATGGACCTGAGCACTGCTATAGGAGCTGTGGCCTTTCTCCTCATTCCTTATTTTTTGTCCTCTTAGAACTAGGTATGAATTGTAGCCTGGTTATCTGAAGTCTACACATGCTCCTTAACCCTTTCTAGAAACTTCTCTGGGGTGGATCCTGCTTTGAACTAGGACATCCTAGAATTAGTGTGCTGATCTTTGTCTGTCTGGGGTCTTCAGGTTCTGTGTCCACTCAGCACCTCAGCACCATACATACTGGTCTGCATTAAGCTTGAGGTCACCTTGCCCCTTTGTGCACTGCAGTTGGGACCGCTGGACACTCGCCTCGGGGGCTCACATCTTACATGGCCTCATTCCCTTGGCTGTGGCTACTTCTTTTCTTGGTTTTCTCTCTTTTCCCTTTGGCTTGGCATTATGGTCTCAGCATAACTCAATGCTCCTACCCCCACTCATACCACAGGAGCAGCACCTGCTCAGATGTGACCACAGAGACAATGCCACAAGGGCCGTCATTCTCAATAACAGTAGTAACATTATTTTTTGCTGATGAGGAAACGGAGTCGGAGATGAACCAGACAGTGGTGGTGAGAAGATCCCAACTTTCTTGCTTCTAGTTTGAAACATTTAAGTCTTCTTCAGTTCCACCTCAGAACATTGCAAGTCAAGATGACCACGGAAAGAAATCTGAATAACTAAACTGAAATCCTGCATTGATGCTAAACTGAAGTGACACTTATGTTTGGAGTTGGGGTTGGTTCATTCATACATATATGTACATATATATAAAATACATATTTACAAGTATATATAAATACATATATACTGAAATATGTGTGTACATTTACTGAGAATGTAGCAGGGGTGTTTGTGAAGTGGGCACCAAGTCCAGAAATAGACATTGTTGCCTCCACTGAAGGTAAAGGACAGCCCACTAATTACCCTGTGAGGTGCCTGGGCTGCCAGTGCTGGCGACTCCTACAGGGACAGAACACTTACTAGTCTCTGGAGGCAGACTCATGAGGCAGATCAGAGGATTTTGGACCTTGCTGCTGTCTGTGAAAGAATTTATAATTTGTACCTTGCTGTGCCCAGGTTGCTCCTAGGCACCCTCCCTCTGGTGCTTGAAGTTGGTATGCCTTCTGTCCAGACAAGTAGCTTCTTGGGCTATTAATTATGTAGTTAAAACTCTAAACCTTCTCATTTTAAATGATAATAAAATGTTTAAAGGTATGTTGCTTATAAACCTATTTTACTTTTTGTCTTTCCATTTGTTCCCATTTTATTGCCTTTCATCGTGGGCTGGCTGACTGGCCAAGCCAAGCTAATTACTGCCTTATTGTTTTTGGAAGACTAGGTGACACCAAGATTATTAATGAGTCAATAAATTGGGGCTACAGAAGAGCCTGGCTATTTTTCCCTTGCCCGTTCTCTCGTTAGGCATGTTGTTCTGCTGTGGCTAAATCTGAGAGGATGGGCACTGTGAAGTTGGCGGTTGATGTGGCTGAGAGCACTGGTTCATAAAGAAACATGGAGTAGGCAGAGACTGCAGGGACCTGGAGAGTGAGAAGGTCAGGGGGACCACGTATTGGGAGAAAGGAAAGGAGGAGAATTCCAAACTGAGAGTTCCACCCTCTGTCAGTTAGAAGCATGTCCACTCTCTGGTCAATACCCATGGCTTGTGCTAGCATTGAATCAGTGTTAAGTTGACTCCTTCATGAATACACTCACCTCAATTAGAATGGCACCAGCAGTTACCTGGTTTCTATGGAAAAGGGTCAGAGTAGGTGATGAAATCTTTCTTCTTCCTGTCTTCTCGTTAAATCTAACCCATTCTTTTTTTTTTTCAGTTTCTTCTTTTTTTAACCCCTTCTTAGACTGAAATAAAATCTAGCAAAACCTTTATCAGAGACTCTTGCTGTTTTTAAACTTTATAAAATAAAGACTGATAGTCTTTTTTTTCTTGAGGAATAATATAGTGCCTATTGTATAATGACACAACAAATTATAGGACAAATGAATTGTTGCTTTCTTGATAAAACTCTATTTGCTCTAAAAGTTGTGCAGGATATATCTTTATCTTTTTTTTTTTTTTTTTTGCTGGGAAAGTTTTGCCCTGAGTAACATCTGTTGCCAACTTTCCTCTCTCTCTCTCTCTTTTTTTTTCCCTCCCCTAAGCCCTGTACATAGTTGTATATTCTAGTTCTAAGTCCTTCTGGTTCTGTTATGTGAGCTGCCGGCACAGCATGGCTACTGACGGATGAGTGGTGTGGTTCTGTGCCCAGGAACTGAACCCAGGCCGCCGAAGCAGAGCGTGCTGAACTGTAACAACTAGGCCATCAGGGCTGGCTCTCTTTATTTTATTTTTAGATTTATTTTTAAAATAAAGTGTATTTTTCCATTACAACAATAATATGGAAATACAGAAGAGTAAAAAGAAAAGAAAATCATCCTTGGTCTCAAAGACCATTTCTGTTAATATTTTTCTGTAATTTCTTGCAGACCTTTCTATCAAGAGGTTTTTTTGGTTTGTTTTTTGGCAGGGAAGTTGGGTGGGTGGAATGTGGGGTATAATATGCACAGTTATTTTTAAATTTAATTCAATTAAAATTAATTTGGTTTGGAGGCTTCATCCATCATTTGGAGTCACCAGCACGTCTTTGACACATTGTAAATATCTGCTCTAAGGACTTAGAATGATAGAGCTAGAACTGGAACAGAAAGAATACTCATTGTTGATGAAGAAGTGAGATGTAGAGATTCAATAGCCAGTTAGCTGGGAGTAGAGCCTCATCTAGGACTCCCAGCCTATGTGTCCTTCTGTGTCCTTCAAATAAGTATCCTCATAGCATAGTCACAGCAAGAGAGACAACCAGAGAAAATTAAGGGTGGCCTGGAATTCCTGCAAAATAACTTGATGTTCAATAAGCTAATTCCTTAGAAAGAGAAAATGAAGTGACCTCAAGTAACAGCAAAATGGTTAAAAGTAGGTGCTCAAGAGTTACAGTCCTGGGTCCAAATACTGTGTCCACCAATGATAGCTCTGTGGCCTTGGGCAGTTTTCTTTAATAGTTTCTTTATTCACATGTATTTATTGAGCACCAACTGTGTGCCAGGTACTCTGTGCTGGCGACATAGAGTGAACAAAGCAAAGGCCTTTCCCATGAAGCTTATATGCTAGAAGGGTGAGATGGACAACAAAAACATAAATATGTGCTGTGTCAGGGAGAAAAATAAAGCAAGATGACTGGTAGAGGGAGTGCTGGGGAGGGGTTGCTATTTTATGAAGGGAATACCTCACAGATAAGGTGACATTTGGGTGGAGATCTAAAGGAAGTCCTTAGTCTTTCCCCGCCTCAGTTTCCTCATCTATAAAGGGGATAATGATAGTGCCTCCCTCACAAGGGAGCACTGAGAATTCAATGAGAGAATGCATTAAAGCCAAATGCTCCATTGATGGTAGCCATAGTTATTTGTTTCCTTTCCTGTCCAGTGGAAAAATTAAGTAGATTTGTAAGGACCTTTGCAGCAATGACACTCCTGTGATGCTTGGTCTGACTTGTGTGATGACACACGCTCTTCATGGGATCCTGGGTCTAATTCTCACTCCCTGTTTATACTTAGCCATATCGATCCAAACTGCCAACCCATCTGATGTCAGGAGGAGGCCTTAATACACAGCTGAGAACAACTAAGCCATGTTGAAAGGATGAGAACTCAAGGTTGAATTCCCTATGCAATACAACTTTTCACTGCAACCTTGAAACCAAGATTCTATCTAGTGGGAGAAAGTAAACGAGATACTTCTGTTCAGATTCATAAGGATGTTTCTGTGGATACAAGACACACCCTTGCTTGAAGGGATAATATTAAAACTTGTTAAACTCTGAGTAGACAAAATGTACAATGGTGCTTATTATGAAGAAACTGAGAAAAACAGCTAAGGGCT